GAAGAAAGGGGAGGTTTTAGTCGGTATTAACATTAGCTAGTCACCAGGCTAATGTTCAAGTCCGACAAATAATTATATTTCCTCCTTTATAAAAAAAAAACAAAAACAAAAAACTACTGGGTCTACACCAACCCTTCTACACCCAAATTAATACCGAAAATTGAGTCAGCTGTTAATTCTTTCTTGAGGTATACTTCACTCTATATTCTAAGCTGCGTTTCTCAGTGGTGTGGTGAATTGCGAAATAATTACACAAGCAATTAAAAGTTCAATAAAAGTAAAAAAAAAGTTGAAAATTATTTTGCAACTTTTTGAAAAATTGTGCATGGCTATGCACTCAGCACGTTAGCTAATTTGCGTAACATATTTATCTGGTTGATGGAAACACCAACAGATGATGACCATTTGAAAATAATCAAAACTGTTGACTTAAGTCGAATCGCACCAAATCAAATCAAATTAAAATAATACACAAAGTGCATTCAGTGCACCAAAATGCACATATCTCAGCAATTGAATGTACATACATATGTTGAACTCATGTTCACTTGTACATACAGAGCGCGGAATGTTTAACCTGCAGCAGCGCAATAGATAGCAATTGCAAATGATTTATGATTTTATTTCTACTAATTATGAGTTGTTGTTGGACGCATTGAATTCATTTTTAATTTATTTAACGAAACAAAATTATTATAAAGATTTAATCTCACACAAGTCATCTTAGAAATATATGTTTATGACACATTTTAAACATGTGCTTTCCGAAATGCTGAAACAAGTTCTTTTAATTTAAAGTTAGCTCAATTAAAAATTTGTTCAAAGTAAATAATATATAAATTATTAGGGTGGGTCAAAAATAAAACGAATATTATTTTTTTTTTCGCTTGGTTTTATGAAAAGTTGGTTCCTAGACACCTCTAAGAAAGTCTCTACAAGTATGAGCTCTTAATTGTAAGGGGAAGGTCCTTCGTCTTACAGTTTTATATTCTTTTCTTATTATCTGATAGAAAAATTCATATCTCGATTCCAACTACTTAAAAAAATATTTCGTTTCAGAGGTTTTGTAGGAATTTGAATCTCAATCACGAATTTGATATCGATTTTTGTTTCTAAATTTCTCAAAATGACATGATAAAAATCAATAAACATAGTGTCATCACAATAACTGTTATGGCGGTTTGTAATATGACAGAGTTGTAGAAGCTTAAATTACTTGTTATTGGTATTGGGAAATCAAAAAATCCGTCACGCTTTAATGGCATATAATCTCGGAATTTTTATTGTATGTGGAACAAAAAAACATGGATGACAAAAACGAAATTTACTTGACATGGCTTTTGAAACTGAACAAACAGTTTAGTTCTCAAAACAGAAAAATTTTACTTTTTCTTGATAGCTGCACCGCGCATCCCAAGAAAATCGAGGATAAATTGATTGCTTTTTGATTGAGTTTGCTTTTTCCCTCCCAACTTGAGCTCAGTATTCATTCAATGGAAGAAGGTAGTATCATTAACTGGAAACAGCGTTACAGTAAGCAGATTTTACCGAATATTTTAACATAATGAAGAAGTATAAATTATTTATTATTTGAAATGAAACTTTACAAGAAAAATCGACCTTTTCATACAATTCTATGTTATGAATTTTTTTATAACGATATTTAGTTTTGAGTTTCGTTATTTGGAAGTTCGGCTATATCAATCCAAAAACGTACTCTCCTACACATATTTATAACCAGAATATCTTTTATGGCACAATGTAAGGAAACTAAAATACAATATTTATGGCAAGTAAGATAATTTATCGCATGTTTATCTAAGTTCTTCAGCAATAACATCTTAAAATTATAGCGCAAAATATTCAGTAATTTAATATACAGCGCCACCTGGTGCAACACACACAACAAATTTGGAATATTTCAATAGCTAAAACAACCACCAAGTGAACGATTTAAAACTTGGGTGACGACACTTCATTTTATCTGGCAGTACTTCGAATACAACTAAAAACTATTTATCATTACAAGCCACTTGCAAAAAATTAATTTGATTACAACAAAATGTTTAAAAGATGTCTTTAGCAATAAAAAAATATTAATTAGATAACACTAACCTTACTTACGCCTAAAATGCTGAACTCTTTTGCTCTAAATCAACTCTTTTAAGTAAGCTTTGCAGCGGTCGCTGAAACTACTTTGCAAGTATTTCAGTAAAACACACATAAAATACACTGCTTGAGAGCTTCAAATTTAAAATTTCACTCGTAAAACTCCCACACGCTTCGATTTTTTACACTTTTCATTATTTAACACATTTTATAAATCTAAATTCATAATTTAGGTTCACTGCCATAGATGCCGACAGTTTTCATGTTTTTCGCGAATGCACAGAAGGAAACTGTCAAAAGTACGGAACATGGCGCCGGAACTTTTATAAAGCGCAGTGTTGCTAAATATTCCTTATAAGGTGTCCAAAATTATTAACACCCCCAAAAAGTTAAAGTGCTTTAACTGAGTTAAGTTTAGTCAGAGAACGTAAATGAATTCATTAACATTCTCTGGTTTAGTTTAATAATATTTATTCTCAAAACTAGTTACTTAGTTAAATAAATATATGTATTAAAAAAAAGCTTACAGATATATATTTAAGAAAGAGTTGTATTCGATTAATTTGATAAAGTAAATTATGGGCATCCTAGTAAAAACCCCTACAAGCTTACTATCGGTTAAATCACTGGATAATTAGCCAAGAGCGCGACCAAGGTTTTCTGTTAAAGTTTCTAGGAGTTTGTTATGATCGTATTGACAAATTTAACGGAAACACTTGTCTCTGTGGGATCGGTTATCTCTTTCTTGCACATAGAGCTTATGTGTGGTAAAGTTTTCAATGTATTGGAGCTTTTGTAGTCTTGACTTGCTGGGTAATAATAATCTCTGAGAATCGTTGCCACCGATCTGGCAAATTTTAACAAGTTTATAAAATAGTTAGATATTCCAATACTGCAATTAAACACAAAAAACATTACTAATTTCTACGTAAAATATTGTGAGAACTGTAAGAAATTGTTCAAATAATTGCACTTAAAGTGGTTTTATATCGGTGATAAATAGACAAATGTAGTGTCTATAGTGAATATTTTCAAAGTGAGAATTTTGTTAAAAAGTTGGTATGTATGTCTGCATTGTGTGCCACTGCGAGTAAAAGTGTTTAGCTATATTGCAAATTGTTTGGATTATGTGGCCGGTCTGCAGTTTTCTGACGCATTAAGAGTGATAAGTGCTTATTTAAAGAATAATACTTAGAATAGGAAACGCTTTGTACGGAAGCGGCACTTTCTTGATTTCCTTTCTGCAGAACTCATCGAAGACTTCCGAAGTCCTATATACATGTTTATGGGGAACTTGTTTTATAGTACACAAACTTCGTTGTGTTATGCAGAAATTTGTACACATAGCGACCTCTTTTGTTGAAAAACTGCATGCGAGAAACAGCGAAGACATAGCGTATACATAGCTAAGACACATTCTGTGTGGAGAGTGGATTGCAATAAGTGGATTGTCAATATTAATAATGGAAATAGCTTACACAACAACAATAGGCAATTATTTCCAAATTATCTGAGCGTTTAAAAACAATTTTTTTACTTCGATAATTTGAACAAATACTTTTTGATATCTTTAACAATAATAGATCTAGTAGAAAATATACCTTATTTTGCATTAAATGGAAGATTTTATTTAACATAGTTAGAATGCTCCTATTCAGGTCAAATATGCAACGTTTTGTTCGATAACGTATTGCTATTTAGACAATGGTTTCATAAAAAGCCACTCTCATAGAACCCGGCATCCCTATTGGCAGAAAACTGGAACAGTCGTTTTCAAAAGCTTCTTGATGCCAGTTTCGGGTTATAAGGTGGATGCATAAATACCTCCTAACCAAGCTCTTGGCGCGTCTGGCAAGTCACTACCGTTGTGTGTGGCCTGGCGTTGTCCTGATGTAACATGTTGTCCACAATCCCTCTTACCCAAAGCAACGGTACAACATTCGAAGAAATTGTTCAGATCAGATTACTATAGAATATAGCAGCCGTATAAACTGAACGATCGGAATAAAGTCCTTGAATGGGAAACGTGTTTATTTGGCCAGATATTTTCCAGAAATTTCTCAAAGATTATTATCCAAAGCAACGGTACAATTTCCGAAGAAATTGTCCAGATCAGATTACCACTATACTAGCATATAGCTGCCATACAAATTGACCGATCAAAATCAATTTCTTTAAGAAATCTTGTTATTGTAGCTTCGGTGCAATCGAAGTTAACGTTTTTTCTTGTTTTTGATATCTTTTGTTTTTGAAACCATATAGCGTAATCCGAACGTACTTATATTAGGCGGGATGCATTAACTAAAGTCATCTAGGTATGTGCATATTTTAAAAATAATAAATTTCTTTTAACTTGACCTTATAACTAGACCTTGACGTCCAAGAAGGCATTTATTTGTCCGGGGCCTGGATATGAGTTAAATCGAACCATAAATAAGGTTTTGCAAAATAGTTCGACTTTAATGTCATCTAGCAGGAAAATAAATATTTCGGGTGTGTGCCAAAATTGCGCACCAGCTCTAGCAATCTCCTGGTTTCTATATCTGCACATACATAACACTTAGTAAGTTTTATATTGGATAGCTCAGTATTTTCTTCAGTTTATAGAAGAATCTGACGCTCAGATATAAATTTCAGCAATCATAATATACAAATAAAGCAATATATTTAGCAATGCATACCTACAAACATATGTAGGTATGTATGTTCTTCCTTTCACGCCACTAAGGTAGCTTGGTTTTCAGGCTATTATAAATGAACTGGCGCGGAATGCGGGAACAAGCAGATTCGACGCTGAAAAACATTTCATAAGAAAAAAACATATTTTGCGTCTTTTGTGAATATATTCTCACATACACTAAACATATATGTAGTTTAAACAACCAATCAACTTTAGTTGATACGATATCTTATATTTGGAACATATTAAATTAATTAAATTAAAAGGAAAAACCACAATTGTGCTTACTTAACTAACTATTTAATTTTGAAATCGAATACATTTACATGTGTGTCTAGAGTCTTATTTCTTAACTCATTAAGCACTTTCTTACGTACACAATCTACGGTTGCACAAGGGCGTAGCTTAATGACCTACATTCTTCTTGCGCTGCAATTTCGATTTTGGCAATTGTCATAGTAACTGTAACATCATGTATGAGAATGTATGTGTGCCAACATATACGCAGACTTAAGCATATACAATAATACATCATTATTTGGAAATACCACATGTTGACATAACCTCACATATCGTATACAAACATATACCCATACATATGTATGTATATGTGAATCTACTTAAATAACATTTACAAATTGGGCTAATACAAATAATACCGAGGCTTGCGCAAGTCCGACTAATTGGCGTTGAATTTGCAGGGCGTGCGTTCAGCGTGTATGCCACCGCCGTGAACGTTGCCATTGCCAACAGCTCTGCCGCAGATCGTAACGGCATCGCCGGACGCAGACACGGACGCAGCGTCGGCCTGTGCGCGGCTGGTGTAGTACATGAGTGTCATCATTTTAAGCATTTTCAGCTCCTTCTTATCCTCGGCTGCTGTGGAGCTGCTGCAACCTTGGTTGGTATGCGTTTGCGTCGCCGTTTGTGCGTGTGTTGGCTGGTGTGCCTTCACTTTCGCTGCTGCTGTCGCTGCTACGCCTGTTGTTGCTGGGGGCAACTGCAATGGATACAGCGGTGGTTCCGCATTCATATTGCTGCTGTTGTTGTTGTGTTTGTGCGGGTAACTGTTGCGCAGCTGCTGTGTGGGCGACTGGGACTGCAGGCAGGATAAGGGCGATATTGGCAGCATGTGGTGGGCCGCCGCCAAATTGCGTTGATTGTTGAGTGTGGCCATTAAGTGTTGCTGATGCTGTTGCAAGCGTTGCCGGCATGCTACCTGATATTGTTGGCTGCTGATGTCTGCTGACTGGTCGGGTCTTTAAAATACTTAAGTCATTAACATTTTCTAAAAAACTTTTATGTCCTGACAATTGTTTCACACTTTCAACGTCCTTCTTCAGCTCCTCAATGTCACGCTTCAATTTGGCACGTCGGTTCTGAAACCAAGTGATCACCTAATGCAGACAATAAGAACCCCAGCGAAATAAGTGAATGTGAACTTTGTGTTAGGTTAATTGATACGTTTTCTTACCTGTGCATTGGATAGCCCCAAGGAAGCAGCGATCTCATCACGATCAGCTGGTGATAAGTACTTTTGATAGAGGAACCGTTTCTCCAGCTCAAAGATTTGATGATTGGTGAAGGCAGTGCGAGATTTACGTTTCTTTTTTGTGTTCGGACGTGTCGAGAAGATATTTAGCGTGGCAGGATCTGAAATTTAGTAGAAAGAGTAAGTCATTGTTGGAATTTCGGTAGAAAGCTTAAATGGCAATTGTTGTTATATATTATATATAGTTCTCGGTAACACCGAGAAAGAAATGTTGTAGACTCTTCTAAGTATGAATATAAATTATTAGCGTGACAACCTGAGCCGATTTAGCCATGTTCTTTATTTGTCTGTTTGTATATATTCGGACTAGTTCGACAGTTTGTGAGATATCGATCTGTAACTTTGCACACGTCTTTTTCTCCACTAGAAGCTGCCCATTTGACAGAACCACCGATATCGGAGCACCATGAGATATAGCTGAACAAAGTCTTTCTGTGTAAACCTTTTTTTGTTGGTAAGATATCTTCACGAAATTTGGCATAAATTAATGCTCACGACAATGTTACAATCTCCGAATATATTATTTAGATTGGAAAAATATCAATTAACTTTTTATTCGACGAAATATCTTCATGAAATTTGGTTCACATTAATATCGAAGGCAGCACTATAATCTCCGAACAAATTGTACAGATCGGACCATTATAGCTGCCACTTAACCTGATCGATCAAAGTCAAAATAAATATCTTTATAAAAGGTCTTTGCTTCTTATTTAGTAACTTAATTTGACTTGCAAGTTGTTTATATCAAACAACATGGCTAGCAATACCGATGATTTTCTCCTTGTATAAGAAGGCTGTAGACAAAGTGGAACCATCACGTGTTTTATTTCTTCAATGCTCAGTATTTCAGAGATAGTAATACCGCCAATAATATTTCTTAACTTAACTTAACTAAACCAACTGCGTATAGTTGCTGGATTCAGATAATAATTTAGCTACAAGACTATAAATAGTCCCTCATGAATAGTCCCTCAGAAACTATTTGACCGATCATTATAAAAATTGGTATGTATTTTTTTTTTTTTTTGCTTACGGAGAAGGTATTCTCATTGACATAACTCGCCACCAGGTGGCGTTGCATATATCGACTTCTATATTGTTTAACCGATTGTTACGAAAATTAGTAAGTACATGTATTTTTTCATGGAAAAGCCAATTATGCTATCCACATTGATATTTATGTCATTTAATTAAACATATTGGAGTATAATGAAGTATAATGAATGATATTGAAGTATAAACAATATTTATTTTTAATAGTAATTTAACTAAAATTATCGCTAAGAGTGAGCCAATACTAACAGATGAACAAAATTTACAATCGGATTAGGCTAATTGTCACATAATTTCAGCACTATTGTACACGGAAAAAAATAATTAATTGACAGTATTTTCCCAGACAAAGAAAATAATTACTTAAATCAAAACTGGCTCTGTAATCGGGCTATATTGACAGCAAAAAATGCCGGAATTAATTTCGATAATAATATTTTTACTATATTAAACAGCTTACTCAAATATAATTTAATTATACCTTAGCCACAGCAAGGCGTGGCCAGGGTCTTCTAGTTTCAAGTATAAAACGTCGATTATTTTATAATTTTTTTTACTTTCTTGAAATATTTCAAAATAAAAACTTTCAGTTTTTGTTGGTTCGTAGAATAGAGACATGCTTAAAAAATATTCGTGCCAATTTTTCGATTGATTAGAATTTCAGAACCGCATCGAAAACTTTTCAAGTTTAGTTGTCCACTCAGATCGTTCTAGTTGTCATGACAATAACACGGCTATAACTTCGAAAATAATTTGAATTCTGAAAAATCTAAACTATAGGAATATGAAAAAATTTCGATTTTTTCAATTTTCTAGACTAGACTGTTAAGGGGTTAGAACTCAGCAATATAAAACCAAACTGTTTGACTTATGTTTTATGCTAATACAAAACAACAAAGTCAAGAATAAAATTGAGCTTTTAAGATCTATTTCAAGAATGTACCGTAACTTAAGCGTATAAGTGCATACATATCACTTTTATAGAATTTTATGCATATTCAAAATTTTTCTCGCTCAATAAAAACAAATGTTATTGCTGATCGGAAATTCATCGATTATAACGAATATTATGCGAGGTTCAGCGACTTTAGGCGATTTTAATTATAATTTTACGAGTTTGCGTATAAGATCAAAAAGATCATTCACACTTTGTCTATATATTAATGAATATGTAAATATATTTATATACAACTTTATTAAAGCGTAGCATATTCCCTTGAATCTCGTTGCGGCTACGTCACTGCGAATGATTCACAAAAACAAAGCGAGAGCGGTGTTAATTCACAGATGAAAGCATTGAAATGTTTCCAAAGAGATTTAGTGCCATCATTTAACGGCAAAGGCTAAACATTTCTATGAAAATCAATTAAAAGCAGCTACTATAATTTGATCAAGCAATGCCAATGCAAACAACAACAACAGCAGCAAAAACTCAGCGATCAATAATAAAATCAAGATGAATGAATTTTATTGCTTTTAAGTGTGATTATAATTACTGTATGGTTCCAGGTTACGCATCACGCTACTTTAAGGGCTTTCAGACCTAAACAAATGCGTTTACACACGCATACATATATTGATATGGTCGCAGCTTTTTTTTGAGGGTGGTAAGGGTTGTACCTACATACATATGTAGGCATGAGACGGCGTTAGTCTATGACAGCTCTTCTAGTTTTTAATGCGATTTTTATTGCCATCTTGTTGTTTTTAGTGTTTACGATTCGATCTTTCGATTTCGAATTGGTTTCGCTACTTTTGTTGTGTAATTTTATTTGTTTATGGCGTGTTTACTGGTGATTTTCACCGTTGATTGATGTTTGGCGGCGGAAATTGACTCAATCGACTTTATTTCGCTGTTTATTCATCTTTTTATGAAATACTCTACTCTTGTTTTTATAAGTAAAGAAGTATCATAAAACTATTAGTAGGCATTGTGAGCTTTGTTGGAATAAAATGTTTTTTGAAGTGCTTGCTAAGAGCGGTGAAAGCTTTACCCGGAAAAACACATATACTTATATGCATCCATAAATATTGAAAGACAAAGATCAAAGGAATACTAAAGGACTACCAGAAATTTTAATAAATACCTATACATTTTTATAAGATGGTTCTTCACACATAACTTTTTTAAGGAAAAGAAAGAGATAGGTATAGTAGATACTCGTATTTTATTGAAGCTTTTTGACTTTGATTTTTCTTTCTTCACAATTTATTATAGCATTTGATAAATTGTATTAAGCACGAATGTATTGCCTGTTTGGAATAGACTTTCTCAGAAAAGCAAAAAAACAACTATTTGTTTGTCGAGTGTCATATAGTTTTAAAGCTCAAGAAAAGGTTTATGTTGTTTTTTTACTTATTTATTAAAAATTAAAAAAAAAAAATTAAAACAAAAAAAAATGTTTACTTTGATTCAAACGAAGCTATAATACCCTTCAAAATAAAAGAATTTACATTCGAAGATTATACCGCTGGCTTAGACAATAAGCCGTACCAAATTTTGTGAAGATATCTGGTCAAATAAAAAAGTTTTCCATACAATGACTTAATTTCGATCGTTCTGTTTGTATGGCAGCTATATGCTAGTCATATTTACCTATATACATACATATATATCATAAATTCTGCATCAAATCAGAAAATGTTTGTTAGCTTATTAATATTATTACAAAAGATCTGAAGCTATTTTTTTTTCGGGGGAGGTTGAGAAAAATGCCTTCCGCATCGTCATTGTGTCGTCACAGCAATGGTATGTGCCACTAAAAAATTCTCCTCTAGGGAACCGTACGTAATTAATCATATTCTTATAAAGCATTCTTAAAAAAAAAATAATAATAATGAATATGTAATATAAAAAATTAGAAATGTGAAAATAAGAAATATAAAAATAATAAAATATTTTTTTTTTATTACAATATTGTTATATTTTTATTTGTACAAATACGCAAAATTTCAATTTTCAAAAAATTTTTAAAATAAATTATTACTTAAAATATTTTTCTTGTGCTCAATTCAGACTTCTTGCTGTCAAATCAATTGTATGGAATTTTCTTTTTATTTTACCAGGCGGTGTTTTTCAAACGATGTCCTTTTAAGTTCAAATGAATTGGAGCAAAGCCATTTACTCATATCATAATTACGCTCTTTGTGAGCACTCAAAGAAACTCACATGTGTATATATTTGTACATACATATATAGGTATTTGTTAGGTGTAAGTATGTGTGTATGCTTCGGCAACTGTAGACAGCTGCTCGCTTTCCTCGGCGACCGATATTTCATGAAGTCAAAACAGTGGGAAAAGGGGCGTTGCTTACCATTTTGACTTAAATAAATGCGGCTATTTGCTCAATTACTGTTTATATGCAGAAAAAAAAACGAACAACGCTTACACTAACGCACACACACGTACATTTATGTGTGCATACGAGTATATGTTTGTTAAACAAATTGACGCCCCTTTCATATTTGTTTTTCGGTTTTGCACTACTTAGGTGTTGAAACCAACGCGAAAGGACGACCTTTGCGTCCGCAAATGACGAAATGGCGACACGCGGTACGAGCACCTGCCAACAATTTTACGTGTGCACCTTTTTGATTTCGTTTTCGCTAGCATTCGGTGTTGTTTTTGTTGTTGTCATTTTAACTATTGGCTTAGCAGACAAAACGCTAACGTCAGCAGCGAATTGATATTAGGAAGACATCAAGAATGTTGGGGGCAATGAATGTCCTCCCCTACAGCCACTGGCGACAAATACAATAAAAAGAGAGAAATTAAAAAATTTAAATGCATTGCGCGGTTTCGCACGTTATTAAGCTCCTATGAGATTATATTATTGTTCGAAGTATTCAGGAAAATTGTAAAAAATTACATAAAAGACAGTAAAATAATAAAATTATAAAATTATAAATATATATACATTTATACCATACAGGTGTATGTATTGCGGTAACATATTAAATTTTTATGGTGGTCGTACCTATACGGCTACATATGTATGTATGTATGTACATATGTATATAATTGCTATTTGAGCCACATACTGC